TATAGGTACAAAAATAATAACAAAAACAAGTTGAAATACAGTTACATTAAGTAACAGACATAATATTGTATACGAATCTGAAATATATAATGGAAACAATAGTCGAGCGCCAAAAATACAATATCAAACCGTTAAGGGAGTTTTTAACTAAATAAAGAATGTATATTGAAGATTTTAATAGATTTTTTTTAATTATCACCCATTAATATGTTTATTGAAAAGCATTAGAAGTGTTCATTAACACAGAATCCTATCCACACATAAACATGTTATGTAATAATCATAACAGTCGTACTAGTTCTGACATTGCACATTGCAGGCCAGCGCGACTTGTGTATACAAATTTAATTTAGTCGTATTTTAACATTAATAACTCAAGTATGTAATTCATCAATCTTATGCTAATAACTAAATTATAATTCTTATTAAAATATTGAATATGAATTGAATGTTAAATATAAAAGTGGCTGTGTAACAATAATAAAACAACCAATTTAGATTATACACAAGTGTCGAATTTTATTTATCAAAGTAAATCATCTATTATCCTTCTTTCGACTTTCTCAATTAACTAAACCATAGGTAAGACTACCCAAGAATTTCTACCCCCTACGGAAATAGCTGAGGGGTAAAACAAACAAAATTAGAGGGTGTTCATTGCTATCGCGTAAACTTAGCAACTCAGCAGATTTCACTGTTACATAGTAAATTAAATACCAATATTGACAATGTGAAAAACACAATCCGCAATAGTCTATTATTTTCAAAAAATACAATTTGCACCAAAGCTTTTTTCTCAGTATTTTAATTGCGTTGTGCCTACTATACATTCTACTGCAGGATTTTTTACTTTAAATTAAAATTACGAGCGTTTCTTTTAACTGGATGTTTTGGATTTGCATGCGATAATTCATATGAAGATGTTTGATATTTCACTATGAGATAAATTTCCATACACTAGTACAAATCGTAAACTAAAATTTCTATAACCAAAAAAATTTAATTACGCTCAAAATGTGCAAAAACAATGAATTTCTTTATAAATCCTTTCGGAACAAATCTTTAACGCTTCAAATAAATTTTGTCTTTAATAGAATAAAAAGATATTTAAATTTTCATTAAAAAATCAAATCAGAAAATTATTTTGTTTATCAGTTGACTCTTTGTGATACTCTAATATCATACAGATTTTAGATAAGCTATATCTTATTTATCTTGAATACTAGTTACATTTTTATTACTAATTACATGAAATAACAAGTAAAATATAAGTGCAAAAAGAGGAAACTAGTTGTTTATTGTTTTTTTATAATAACTTCTAAGTACCAAAATTCATTTCTTGGAAAAAATTAGAAATTATATTATAAATTAAGAAAAGTTGAGGAAGACTATTATAATTTAATTATATAATAGTTTCTCAGATTTTTTTTTCAAATTGGATAATTTTATTTTACTGAATAAAAAATTAATGACTGGATAAAACGTTCTGCAGTCTATTGAAAGATAGGGTAGTAATCTGGCAAGCGACAACTGTGTTAAATTAGATTTGATCTATTGAAGCGGATACGACGACTGTGTCAAGTAAATGAAAAAATCCGCGCACATTTGCACAGAAAAAAACTAGAGCCAAATGTTTTAGTTCATTTTATATAGGAAATGAACTTACAGTAATCATTCTTTAAAAGTTAGATGCCAAAAACGGAGTGCGCCAAATATTGTTTCTATATTTCAGATAGACCTGGTAATGAATTCTGCATTTTATAACCGGAAATATAATTTTACAAGAATACTTAAAAAAGGGATAATAAATTCCATTTTTTAAAAGACAATAAACTGAGGTAAATGAACTTGCAAATATTTAATAATTCAACAATATAACAAAGTAAATAAACACGAATATAGATCTTATCATTAAAAAGAACGAAATTAACATGTTTTAATTTGTATGATACCGAGGAAAAATTGTATGTCGCCTCGTAAAACCAGACCGAATAAAAAAATAACACCATAAAAATAAAAAGTTATTTCTTGATTTTTTTTTGGAGGCTTAAAATATATACTATAAAGTAAGGCACATAGCTCTAGAATAGTCAAAGTCACAATTTTTTATAAACTATTTTGATGGACTAAATTACTCAATAGTCAAGTGATGTTAAATCGACTTAACCCTCGAAATACTTTAATTAGTAAATTGTGGCATATATATACATTTGGAAAATTGAATTTTTTTGAGTAACTTAAGATACAAATAAGCGGGTATGGGGATTTGCATTTTAAATTTTTTCACATAGATAATTTTAAAAATATTTTAAATGTAGAAATACTTAAATACAAGATAAAGAATAAAACATTTTTTTTTAATTTATAATTTTTATTCAGGTAGACTGATGTAAACATTATTTAATTCTTCAACATTTTTTTTTTTTTAATACGTTTTGAAGAAAAAGTGTTTTTTGTATACAAAAAACGTTGTCTTCTTTAGAAAAAGTTCTAAATATTGTCTCTTAAATGTGGTATACGAAATTTTACCTTAACAATTTATTAAACTTGAAAGATATAAAGTAGATAATTTACTACAAAGACTGCGTTTGAGATTCCTAATATTTAATGGTTCACATCCAGCATCCACGCAAATAAACCTTGTGACTAGAAGATGCGCGCGACCAAAAACTAAATGACTTTTGACATGTTGCCTTAAAAATTTCATTATTTAGTCACTATGCTAACAGTTTGCGTTTAAAATACTTTAATCTTTGACGTTTCTAGGGCGAAAAATAATATCTGGCTTTAATTAATCTATCGTCTGTACAACAAATATACATTGCAGCTTATTCTTAAAATTTTATTTAACTCGACGTAGGTAGCACCAACATTATACAATGGTTTAATATGTTTTACTTATTGTTAATGCCAACATTTTGAATGATCGCCATAAAAGATTTTTAGACTAAATTTTCAATTTAGTAAACAAAAATGTTTTCATGGTCATGTATAAGCAACAGTGGCGTATTTAAGAAGGGGGGACTATAGGGTCCAGACCCTATTCTTGGACATAAAATCATAGTTGTTAGGGGTAATGAAGGAGTAAATCTCCTTACTACTTTACGTTCTCAAAGCTACTTAGATTCCATACAAAATTTCTAAATACATTACTTGCGCATTCTGCTGTTAACAATTTTTGAGCTTAACGATCCAAAAATCATTAGTTTATTCAGGAAAATATATTTGTGTAAAGAATAATAACGAATTTTAGATTAATTAAAAATAATGTTTTTACGAAAAAATTTGAGTTTAAATCTAAAATTAGACCTTTTCATAAATACCCATTTAATAACACCTTATTGTTTAATTTTAATATGCGTCATTCCTGCTTATATTTCTGGAAATATCTAAAATTAATAAAATAAGTTTAAAAATCCAATATTTTTAGGGACAAACAAAACTATAAAAAAATATTGTATACTGTCGTCTCTAATAATCTACTAGTTAATATCAATTAATTTCAATTATTTAATGATTAGCATAGTTTGATTGGGGGCTATGGGGCATCAGACCTCATAGAAACACTTGTAGTCTCCACCAAATAATTTAATTTGGGGTAAAGGGGAGATAAAGTAATTTAGCAGAGAAGCTTTCCATTAAGTTTATTAAAATTATGAAATAGCGTATGTAGACGCATATTAAAAAAAATCTTTTTTAGAGGGACTAAAAGAAATTTTTTTATAATTTTCTAATAAATATTATTTTTTATGATTTTTTTTTCTAAAAACCCTTTTAAAAATAATATTTTCAATCAAAAATTGGTTATCGTATGAATTTCGGAGGGTGATGATTTACACCCTACGAGCCCATTTATGAACACCCTTGAAATAATGAAGACCCTTCAGACAAAATATTCTAGTTAGGCCCGGGGATTTTTTAGTAGTATACCGTTTGTCATTTTAATAATGTAGTTTGAATTTTACCTCCACTTCTTATTAGTTTCACATCTATTAAAATACTTAATTTTTAATGATTTTTATCAAGCATTTTGAATACTTTCGACAGGATATCGAAGCAACTTTAAGGTTAATAAATTAACTGCACCCGAAAAATAATAATAAAAAGTAAATATTATACAATTAAATTTTGTAGTAATTATTTACGCATTATATTTATTTCGACGAATTTCTGTAAAGTACATAGATTTAAAACGACCCTGAATGTTATTTTTTATCTACGTTCTCTCATATTTTCTTAGGCATATGAAAGATCTTTACAAAATTTATCGTTATTCTCGCATAATATACTACAATTGTATGAAGTATATTATGCGAGAGTAAACTTCATTAACCTTGAAAATTATTAAACGTATTTAAAACTTAATAATCGTGACGATATCAATAGAATAGTACACAATAGTGATTTTAGTAAAGTAATAATGTTTTACACTTCCGTATGTCATTTATCAATTGTCTATAATTAAGTTAATATTTTAACAAGACATTTTAAAGAGTACAATTATTATCGTGATTAACTAAACTAAGTAAGTTTAATTCAACACGTTAATTTTGAAGAAAAAAAATGCTTAGCGAAAAGAGAATATTTTATTTATTAGTTAGTAAAGTATAAAAGTATATGTAGTTTCAAAGTTTAAAATTTTTTTTTGACGTATAAATTAAGTGTCCTTGAAGGTTATCAGAAAAAAAATTGAATTAATGTTATATGGAAAAAATGAATTTTTTTAGGAAAAATTTTACAAAGAAATTAGGAAGTCAACTGTCGGAATAAATTTAATTAAAAATAAAAATAGGGCATTAGGTTTGGAAGAGTTAAAAAAATCGATTTGAAGGACTTTATAAATAAAGATAGTCTATTTAAAATATTGAATATCATCAATACACTTAGTATACAAGGTAATTTACTTTAATGTTATTTAACGAAGACATAGATTTATAATTAATTTTTCGTTTTAAATTATTTATTAAGTCCTGTTTTAATCAAAATTTTTAAGTTCATACCTCTTTTATTCTGTAGCTTGTTCTTCGCGTAATTGTGCGATGCACTTCTCCTTCATAAATTTCCTCGACGCTCCCCATATTGATATATGGTTATCCTGACAGCAAAAAGATTCACCGCAACTTAACAACGTTTAATTTTATTAAAAAACGAATTGACGATATTTAAACACTCGCGATCACAGATGATATCCTAAGTTGATTTATGTTATGTTGAAGAACAAATGTTTTTCTCGTCCGCGTTACTGTTTAACACATCAGTTGGCTATATATTATGGCACATTGGGTAGCATGCGCTTGTTAGAGAAAGAACGCCCAGTCCCTTAAATTCTATAAATAGACTATAATGGATAAGAAAAGAAAATAACACGTACGAACAACGCACGTCTTCTTTTTCTTTCATTGACGCCATTTATTAATCTCAATGTAAATTTTTCAGAAATACATACAATGTAATAATATTGTTACGTTTTTTCTCAGAATCTTTTTATTTCCAAATCTCAAGGTTATGGTCACATTTGAGCGTCATTAAAACATAACAACGTCTTCGATATTTCAATTGTATTTAACATACTAATACGGGTTATTGGTGATATTTATCATACACATCGTGAACAATATTAATTCACATGATAGAGAAAAGTAATTTTACACACAAATATTACTGAGTACAATATAACAATATACGAGTACTTTTTTCTTTTTTCTCGATTCACACAAGCGTCTAAATTTATCATTAATGCATAATATTTAAAAAATATTATTATTATTATTATTACAATAATAATCATTGTTATTACAATTAAAAAACTGATAGTTAAGTTTCTCATTGATAAAAAATGATGGTACAGTAATCATAGTCATTTAATTTAAACAGTGTATATTTACATAATTAATTTTATACGAACAGCTGAATGATTTTATGATTTGCTTTGTACTTACAATGATTTATTATCCTCGGTTATAAAAAAATGTATTTGTACGAAAAATAAATAAATTATATTCCAAAAGCTCATTAAGTTTCAATAAATGCAATAAATATGTAGACATATAAGTACATGAATGTAATTATAAAATATTTTTTATAATTCTGAGCAATTTCTAGTAGGTTAATAGAAACGCCTTATTTAATATATAGATTTAAAGTAAAACATAATACGCACATATTATCAGACAGAAAGTTAAAGAAATTAATTTAAATATAAATTTAATAAGATACAGTTTTAAAACAAATAATTATAACATTGATGACATTTTAAGCTTAAAAAATATTTCATCAATAAAACAATAATTGAAGTTACGTTTTACAATACAAATTTGTATTTTTCAATGAAAAATTAATTAGTTTTCTAAAAAAATTAAATATATCACAACTATACTTGACAAATAAATTAAAATAAAAATTTATTGGCCTGTTATTAATGGACTTATACAAATAAATATAAGCGTAATTTAAGTTTATTACTTCCTTAACAATTATCCTATCATATTTAAGACGGAATATATTATTAATATAAGAATGATTATATAATCAATAAAGAATCTTAATTTTGCTGGTTAAAAATTAATTGATAGATTATAATTATAAGCCTAATATAATTTTCCCTTAAAATTTGTACAATGTAATATTCTTAATAAAGTACAAACTTGAAACATTTTAATTTTCATTATAGTTGAGGAAGTAACTTTTTGTGATCTTGTAACTGCGATTGAAGTGTTGAAAGTTCAGATGGTCTGAAAACACCTTTTTCAGTTATTATACCAGTTATCAGTTGAGCTGGTGTTACATCAAATGCTGGATTCCAACATGTTACACCTGTAAAAATACAGATATAATTCTTGTGTAAACAATTAAATACTAGTTATTACAATAATATAGTTTGTTTAAACAAACTAAAACATTTACAATAAATTTATAATCATAAAATTATGTGCAGTAATTTTAATTAATAAAAAAATTAAAATAAATGTTATGTATTTTTGAATAAGATTAATTTGAAATGTTTATCAAACTTAATAAATTGAACTATTTTATTTTAACAGAATATTTGTGTTTTTACATTAAGACGTAGTAATATTATAGTACAAGAGTAACTATAATTTAGTGTTATTCATTGGATCTTGAAATAAGTTAGTAACCCAAAACAAAAGTAAAAAAAGTAAAACTATATAAGTAGTAATTAAAATAGAATTTTTAAATTCTCTAAGCCTTTAAAAATGATTAATAAACAGCTATGATTTATTAATAGAAAAATAAAAATGTATAGTAAACATCTTACTTGCGGTAAAAAAAGAAATGAAAGTATAAATGTATTATTTTAAGTTTCCCAGCAATTGTTACATTTGAAATAAAAGCACAGGAATAAATTTTCTTGTGTAAAAAATTACTATGAGTGATCATGCTGAATACTATAAAGTTTTTTAATAATAATGATATATTTTTAGAGATAAATATAAAACTTTTAAAAAAATTAAAATATTGAACCTAATTTTATTGGTACTTATTTATTTTATAACTCGCAATCAAATAGGATTTTTAACTTAATTAAATTTTATTGTAAAAAATAAACAAACAAGAAGAGAAACGACATATTTATCAACTAAAAAAATGAAAATATGAAATAGTTCATATATCAAATAGTTAGTGAGAATAGGTGTAATTATTTCTAAATTAGTAACATTTGTTAAATATAGATAGGCAATGCTAAATTAATAATAACAAGTAATTTTATGAATTTTTGAATATTTTTAGTTTTTTCTTATATTTTTACAGATTAGTGTGCAAAAATTAACAAACAATGTAGGTAGAACTTTGATAATGAATTACCTAATTTTATAAACATAAAATACATTTCAAAGAATATATTTATTTAAATTTTCACTTTAAGAATAAAAAACATAAGTGCAAAGATAATCAGTAGACAATGTATTGTACTCATTATGTTCTTCATATAATCTATGCAACATTAAAAATAAAATGTTTACCTGGTGAAGCTATTCTAATATTATTTATGTGTGTCATTTCTACTTGAGGCCGTTCCTCAATTATAATACTATCACCAGTGTTAACACTAAAATCAATTGACGTTAATGGGGCTGCCACATAAAATGGAACATCATGATGCCTTGCAACCACTGCAATCTTAAAATAATAATAATAATAATGATAACAATTATGCTAATTATATAAAAAATATAAATATATACTTGATATGTTCCTATTTTGTTAGCTGTATCACCATTAGCTGCTACTCTATCAGCTCCAACAACGACAGCACTAATCTGAGCAGTCTTCATTAAATAAGCAACAGTACTATCACACACTAGTGTAGATGGTATTTTATCATGAACTAGTTCATAGGCAGTAAGCCTAGCACCTTGGTTATAAGGTCTTGTTTCAGTAAAATAACAATTTTCTAAAAATAAATAACTTTCATCAAAAAATAACTTAGCCTTTTCTATGTTATAATTAAAAATAAAATGAAAAATTATTGAAAATTACCAAGTCTTGAAGCGGAATGTAAACATCTAACAACACCTAATGCTGTACCAAAATATGCAGTTGCTAACGAACCAGTGTTGCAATGTGTTAAAATGCGAACTTGCTCTCCATCTGAGACACCATTCAAAATAGCTTTAGCACCAAATTCTCCAATTGATCTATTATCAGATATATCTTTCTCTAGCATAGCTTCTATTGCAGCTACAAACCTATAATTATTCAAAAAGATTTATTATATAAAATAAATGACAAATTTTTAAATAAACCTTACCTAGCTTGCATTTCTTGGGCTGAAATATTTTCATCATTATCTAAAGAATTAATATAAGATATCAAATGATCTGCAGCTTGTTTCATATTTACAGCAGTAGGGCGGGCAGAAATTAAATAATTTAATTTTCCTTCAACTTCTCTACGAAGGGCTTTTTTTTTTTCAAATTCTTCTTTTGAAATTTCTACAGCCAAACTTAGGCAGCCCACAATTGCAATTGCTGGAGCACCTCGAACCTTAAATAAATAAATGTAAATAGACAAATATAAAGTATTCTACATTTATACTTGACCAAACAAGGATTTTTTTTGTTTTCAAAGATGTATACATCATTATTAATTATATACCTTAAAATACTTTTATTGACATTCCATTTAAAAATAGTATTAACCAAAAATTATTTAATTATATCACTTAAAATTTCTGGAATTACTTAAAGAATTAGATATAAAATTTTAAATAAGTATTTTTATTAATAGATCTTTTGAAAAACATTATTAAAATATTCAGTTTCAACTAGATATAAAAAATAGACAAAACAAAAACACAAAAAAGTAATTTTGCTAATTTAGCAATTTATAAGTATGATATTAAAATATAAAATCATGTATGCATGCATTAAATTTTTTTTTTTTAATTCTTGGTAGTTGAAATATTAATTAGCAACTCATTCATTTTTATTTAATATTCATATAAGGATGTAAAATGGCATGCAATACACAGACCAAATGTTCTTAACAAACACTACAGTACATTTGTTTGGAATAAAAATATAATTTAAAAATAGATATTGTATTTTAATTATTTAAGAATTAATTTAAATATTATAGTTACACAATAAGATATTATTAGTTAGTAGGATTTAACAGAAATTTGAATAAGTTATTAACAAATATAAGATATTAGTATTCTAATTATTAAAATTTAACATAAATATTGTTCATGTACTAGAAATATACTTTAGNAGTTATTAACAAATATAAGATATTAGTATTCTAATTATTAAAATTTAACATAAATATTGTTCATGTACTAGAAATATACTTTAGGTAGTACTTAATTAAAATAATAGCACTTTTATTATTAATTTGTAATATAAAAATGATCTCAAATAATGAAAAAAATAAATTAAAGATAGCCATAAAATATAGAATTAATCTTAAGTTTGACGACAACATTATTATCTTATCTTATTATTTAATTTTTACTCAAAAATTATAATATAAAAAAATTCTTTTTTTAAAGCTTATATAATATGCATATTAAAACTTGACTGATAATATTGTGAAATTATTGTAATTATTTTTAAATTCAAGAAATAATTATTAAGCCTATGATTAAAAAATAAATATTTCTATGAGTAACAACATATTTAACTTTCAACGACTTAAATTTTAAGTTGTTTAACTATTTTGAGGAAAAATTGTTTAATATTATTTTAAAAGAAATAATTCATAAAAATTATTACTTATAAACATTAAGGAGAAATGATTTAATGAAAATATTTTGCAAAACATAGAATATGAGATGATAATACAATTTTAATTTTAAATAATTTGTAGACATCTGTTAATAGGTGGAATAAATTGTAATAATGAAATCACTTAAATTAAAATCCATTTTGAATTAAGTAATCAAAACTAGTTTTCACATTAATAAACTCTACAGTTGGATGTCATAAAAAACAAATATAAAAAGTACAAAACGATACATATTAAATACCTGCATTTTGTTAATAACTTTCCATCCATCTTCGACGCCTAAAATGGGTATGTATTTCGATTCTTTTGGTAGAAGTAGTTGATCTAACACTTCTAACGTGCCATTTTCATATCTAATTGCTTGTAGTGTCATAGTAGCCGGCTTTGCGGCAGAGTATTAATATAAAAATTATTTTTAGTAGAAAATATTAGAAGAACGTGGACTGTGGAGTCCGCAGAAACCTGCAGGCAACGATCGCCGGTCGAAACTTAGACGGTGGCCGTTTTGTAGACCGTACAACACGGTAATTGTTTTACACGAGACTCACTCACAAACATAAACACTCAACAGCTGCTAATTCTTTCTATATTATCTATTGTTATCAGTAAATTTGGGGTTTAAAAGATATCAACTATGATCATGCACTAATCATACTTTGCACATAAAAGTGAAACGGTTGTATTGATCATTATATACTGAATCTTATTTTTTAACCAATATTCTTTCAAAATCAATTTTAATGTGGATAAATTTTAAGTTAATGATAGCATTAAATATAAATCGAGTAAAAATCTGACATTAAATCTTTAAAGTATACTAAATGATAAAATTTTACCATTGTAGATTAACACGTTTATGTTAACACATAAACATATAGGAATTAATTATTTTTCTCTTCCATTCCTATAGAAAAAAATGCTAATCCCAAGATCGTGGTTGCTCTAATGATTTTAAAGTTCTCAAACTATTTTTTTTCAATTTAAAAAATTCTTTTTTTATCGCTACTTTGATTATTACGTGCTTTTTTCAGAAGATTATTCCAAGCAAAAAGGGCATTCTAGTGCCATGAATCTTCCATTAACGTTTAAATTAAGCATTTGTAATTACCAAAATAAATTTTTTTTGATAATCTACGTGTTAATATAGTTGTAAAGAATAAATGTTTATTAAATATTTTTGGTTAGTCAAAGAACAAAGGTTTCTTGAAAATTTCTATATGTGCATTTCGACAAATGTGAATTTTTTGTAAATTTAACCAATTTTAAGAACTTTATTACAAAAAAGATTAATGGATTTATAATGAAAATTATCTTTAAATTTATTTCATTAGAAAATATGAGCCCATCCCTTTTGTATGTGTATTATATATATAAAGATATTGTTTATTATAGTTAGTGAACTTAAAGTTTACTTGGTAATATACTATTTTTTTATAAGTATATTAAAATTATACTAATAAAAAGGAAGATTTACAGTGGATCATAGTAAAATGAAAAATATTCATTTTAATGTCGTAGATAATATCTTTTATCTATAATAAATAACAGATCAAAGTTATTGGACTATATTCTTAATGTAGAATTTACCAAACAACTTTTTACTATTATAGGGCAAATTTATTAGGCTTTTTATGAAAAAATTATCTTTATATTCTTTGTAGAAACATGAGAAATAAATCCATAAATACAAGAATACAGAAGTATTAAAAATAGTTAAAACCTGCCTGTTTATGGTGTGTTAATAAAACACAGGCAACCTCGTGAATTTTTTTATTTTTGATAGCCATTTCATTCAATTATCACAATTAATGATAATTATATTTATATTCTTATAATTGTTACAAGTGTTTAATTATGATAATATTAGATATTAATAATTTGATAAAAATTAGGGGTATTATTTTTTGATAAAATATAGATAAGTATTTGAATTTATCTACATTATTATTTTAATTATAATTATTATAATTCGTTATTTAAGAACGAGAATGAGAATAGGTTGTAGCTTACAAATATTACCTTATAGTATTGAGTTAAATGAGTCATAAAATTTTGTTGGTTATAGAAACAGTTATATATTACTGCCAAATTTTGTAGTTGTCCACTTTTTTAAATGTCCTAATTATATTATGAAAAACCTTGTTGAATATTTAATGTTTTCAAGGTTTACATGGCAATTTAATTATCTTATAAGTAGATCAGCAATGCAAATTCCATCTTGTAAATTTATTGGTATTAATTTTTTAATATAACAGGATATCCAGTAAGAAATATATTTCAAAATGGATTGGGAGTCATTTTATAATAGTCATTCATCACCCGCTTCATATGAAATTATAATTACTGAAATAAAACAATTTATATCTCATCATGAAAATAAAAAGATTGTTTTAATAACAGTAAGTTTTTAATTTATAATTTTATTATACCGCTTAATTTGTGAAGTGATTATTTTTAAATATTTATGTTCATTAACTTGGTGGTTTTAGTCTGGTGGAACAACAGTCCCAATAGAACAAAATACTGTAAGATTTGTTGATAATTTTAGTGCAGGAACTCGTGGATCTGCTTCAGCTGAATATTTTCTTGATTCAGATTATGCAGTTATATTTCTTTATAGGTATTATGTATTTTTTATGTTTTTCATAATTTTTAACAGGTATTAAAATACAAATTGTTTTTTAAAAACTTTATATTGCTTTTATTTACAATCCCTAGTATCTTAATTAAGGCGAAATTAAAAGCTTCTGATATGATAAAATAAAAAAGGGTTTTATGATAAAACTACTACTTATGAAAAATGAGATAAATTTTTTTATTCAATAATTTTATATATTTAGGTTTATATTTAATCTGTTATACCAGATGATCAATAATTGAACAATATACCCTTTTCCTTACCCTTTGAACACTTTGTATTTCTCTAATGTAAAGTAAAAAACTACATTTCAGATCAAAATCATTGGAGCCGTTTCTTCGACATTTTTTAAATTCAAAATTACTAGATAAATTGGAAATAGTGAATAATAAATCAATCCAAGGTTTGTAACATTTTGATTAATACTTTAAATTAATTACATACATGATATTAATAAATAGTTTCCAAAATTGCTGAATGCAAATTAAAAGTGGAATATTTAGAACATATTTTTTTAAATTTTGATTCAATTTTTTTAAATCTTAAAATGTCTGTTGAATAATATGTGGGATATATAAAATTTTGATAGAGTACGAATAATATTTTCTTTGTACATATAAATTTTCCGGTTTCCTTACTTATAGATCATTCTGTTTTAAATACCTCATAATTAATTTTTTTTTTTGTTACAGTAAAAGAGGATCTTGAAAATCTAATACCTGTATTAAAAAAATACAAGGATGCCAAAAGTTCTAACAATATCATATCTATTCCTTTTACAACATTAGTGGAGTATATGTGGCTATTAAGAGGATTTTGCAAGTTATTGAATAACAGATATTGTTTAATTTACTTAGCTGCAGCTGTTTCAGATTTTTATATTCCACCTAATGAAATGGTAAAAAAAGTAATACATTTAATGGAACACTAAATATAACATTTGAATTTTATGTTATTTTCTATATTTACATGGAATTGATTTATAGAATACTTAGTTATAAGTTATCATAATATACTTAAAAATTTAAGTTTTTAATTTTTAATATAAGAATATTTTGTTCTAAATTTCTCTTAAATGATCAATTTTTTTTTTTTAAGGTTTAAAACAACTATATAATTAAAAATTATATTTTTGTTGTCGAGATACATTTATACAAAAATACAACTTTTTAAAGAATTTATTAAAAATACACATTTTTTGATATACAACTAAAAATTAAATATAAGATAAAACCAAATATTTATTAAAATTTTATTCTAACAAACTTCTTTAACACAAATTATTATTTAACATTTGGTTTATTAGGCTGAACATAAAATACAATCAAAAGATGGACCTCCAGTGATTGCTTTGCGTATGGTACCTAAAGTATTAATGGCTATTACTCAAATTTGGTCTCCTAAAGCTTTCATAGTTTCGTTTAAACTAGAGACTGATAATTCTCTTTTAGAATCAAAGAGCAAGGATGCACTCATAAAGTACAAACATCAAGTAAGTTAAATTGGGTTATAGTATGTTAAGCCTACCTATCAGTACACTCAAAGGAGTCTAGTATTTATAAGAAAATTTTTAATTATACCACTTGTAACCTATTTGGTCATTTCAGTTCTATTCTCGGAATAATCAGTGCAGTTATTAAAAATGTTTATCACTTTTTATTATTGTTACTATCTTTTTTAATATTACGTAATATTTAATTTGTTTAGTTGGTAATTGGAAATTTACTTCATACAAGAAAATACCATGTGAAATTGATATGTCAAAATGAAATTGAAGATATTTATCTATCAGAAAAAGATAATAAAGATGGAATAGAAATTGAGGACATCATTGTTAAAAAAATTAAAATAAGACATGAAGTTTTTTTGAAAATGAATTAATATTATTGTTTGTTTAGTTTTTTCATAATTATCATATGTATTTATTAAGATGTATAGTAATATACAATCCAAATAGAAATAAAAAAGCACCTATAGTGTTTTTGTAATTTTATATAAAATAAGTATTAACTCTAACCGCATCAGTAAATTTCCAAATTTTATATAATGATATTAAAATAATTATAATCTAGCATATATATTTTGTTGTAGTCATGTTTATTATGTATGTGTTTATAATTTTGTAAAATTAAAAATATATACATGAACCTAGCAACATAATCACAAGCTTTTAACACTTCTATGAGATAAACATAAATTTCTCTTTTTATTCATATTAGATGTTTTAAATATCAAACCATTATATGTGAATGTGTTTACAAAAAAATTAAAAATAATTTGTGTTTAATTAAAAATACAAAGTTTTTAAAATGACATAAATATTTAATGTTTACTCATATTTCATTATACAATATATCTATTTTAATTTTTTTCTATTGGTAAACAATTTACTTCTTCATGATTAATATTGTCATCAAGTTTTTCTTCAGGGGAAATTCTATATACACTTACTAAGTTTTTACTATCGTCAAACTTACAACTAACATGAAAACCACCAATTAAAAATGTATAAAATTGATTGTTATAACGTTCTCGTACATAAATGGACCTAGGATCTTCTTTTAAAATATTGATAATTGTTGGTTCTATATCAGTCATATTCAAACTATCTAAAAACTCTTTAGCTCTTGATGAAAATTCCACACTAAATTGTTGTGTAATAGGTTCTGTAATCCATTGAGGAACTCGTACCTATGAAAAGAAATTGAATTATTTTATGTAAAAATATTTAAGTGTTATAAAATACTCTTGAATGGAGGGGAGACAAAGGAATGTTATCATAAGCATTGTTTTCTTCTCCATCTGGTGCTTCGCGATCAGAAGTTAATGGATCTAAAAGTATTTGATGTGAACCATTATCAAACAAGGATATTGGTTGGGTGAAAGATCTTAACATCATTGGAGCATCGTAATGTGGAATATATGGCTTAATATCAACAACAGGAGTTCCATCAATCATGTCAACACCAGAAAAATACACAGAGTTTCCTAAAAAATTATACTAGTTGTTATAATTATATTAAGTATGAAAAGCCTTAAAACAAACCTTCAACTCTATCAATTTGAACTAGTGATAAACCTATAGGGGAAGGTCTATGTGGAGATCTTGTTCCAAGTACACCAGTTTTTAAACCATTCAATCTTGGAGGAGATACTTTGGCATGAATATGAGTAGTATCATTTTTGTGGAAATGGAATAATACCCTAAAAAAATTACTGTTATTAAAGAGCTATCTAAAAAATAAAAGATGTACTAACCATAAATGTGAAAAATCAGCAAGCCCTTCAAGTGCATGATCTGGATTAGTAAAAATTGTGTTTGATATAGTTAGTTTAGCTTGAGCTAATGGGCAAAGTCCTGGTTGACGTGGGACACATCGCCGTTCTTTGAATTTTGTTTGAATATGTCCTATTATGGAAATTTCAATTTTTTCAGGTTCTCTAACTTGTTTAAGATCATTTGTTACCAAATTTCTTTCCCCAAGTAGTTTTTTCAAAGCTTCATTTTGTTTCCTAATGAAAATATATCAAATTTCATTTTAATTATTTCAAAATTTAAGGCAATTTTCATTAAAAATAAAAATTACTTGAGTGAGTAAATTTGTGCTCTAGCAACAGACAATTGTTTAAGACCTTCTACTAGGTCTTTGACATCTTCTGGTTCATCTGGAGGTACGTCCATTTCATTAATTTTTCTTACAAATCAATAAAAAAATATTATAATAATTGAGTTGACGTTTTAAAAATTAATTTTAGAAACAATAATTTTTTAAATAAAACATTCTTATTATACATTTTTTAATATTATTACACAATTAACATTATACTTAGAATTATTGATTATTATTACTTGTATAATCATTAAACCGATATCCTAACACTTTTTCATAAGATTATTTATTAGTTCTGATAATCTTATCAGTTCTTATTGCAATAAAAATTTGGAATTGATTACAAATAAAAGATTACAAACGTTAAATTTAATGTTACTCTTTTATATTCATCAGAAAAATATTGCATATTTGGCATTAATTTTTTTTTATTGTTGATAGCGAATCACGCAACATTATGTAGTCTATACTACACTGTTGAATTATCTAAGTTTAATTTTAACAGTTTTTTAATTCGTAAAAAATGATTTAAATATTTTAATATATTGACTAAAATTCAATTTTGTTTAATTTTCTTAAGATGCTATGTGGTGGTAAGTTTCTTATTACTTTAAATATAAAATTTTTACTTAGAATTTTATTTTTTGGTTAAAATAAGAGAAGTTAAATATTTTATAGATTTCATCACTTAATTTTTATTAACTAATATTTTTTGTTTTTTTTTAATAATACTAGTAAATTGTACTAATGCTGTAGATTTATATGGCTTAAATGATTATAGATAATAATTTGTCAAGTTAAAATACCGCCCCAAATTGACCTATTTTACAGTACCTTAAAAACATTTGTTCAATTAATTTTCTTTAAATTGCTTTAAAGTGGAAAGTGTTATATTGTAGCTACAGAAAAGTCAATTTTCATTCAAACTTTATTTGATAACATTTGAATAATACTGTTTATCACTATAATAAATATAAGAAACCTATGTAAACAAAGTTTGAAATACTTATGCATAACTTATTATGAGCTTTTTAATTTATATATTTACTATTTAAATGTCTTTGATAATATTTATGTGTTTAAGTCAGTTATTTTTTGTTGTATGTAGAAGTTTTAAGACCTACTAATAAAATAAAACATGTATTATTAATTTTGTAAGTCCAAATTATTTTTAGATAATATATTGTAATAAGTAAATTTTAACGGAAAGTTTCCTTATCATTTAAGTTAAAATAATAGTTAACCAATTTTGTACATATTATACTGTGTTATATTTGGTTATTATAACATATATTAATTATATAGGCAATATGCATAATGATAACACTTGGAAAGGAACAAATAAAAGTATGCTGCCTAGAAGCTTTGGAAAAAAGCTATTTCCATTACTTATACCCTCCCCACAACATACAATATTATTTAAGGTTTGTTAAAAAAACATTTTTTAGTATTATTTATTAACTTTTAATAAATGATATATTTTATCATTATTTTTTAGGTTTCAAAAAATGTAAATAGTGTCTTAGAACCATTTCCTGAAAACTTGCATGATGTTTGGGACAATAATCATGTAAAGTTACCATGTTCTAAATCCAACTTGCTTTCTGAAAAAGAAAATGTTTGTATATAATTTCAAGTTGAGAAGATGAATGATAAAAATATAATTTTTATTATAGGATTTTAAAAAATATAGATGGGATGTGATTATTGATAGCTTATTGAAACCTATTTTGACCAGTGAACAATTAGAAAATGCTATTAAGTCATATAATTTAAAATACAAAGGCATTTGGCGTTTTCATCTTTTACATTCATTTTTTGATAATGTAAGATATTTAAAAAATGTATATACATATATTGTTATATAGTTAAAAATTTGTTATGAATAGGTTTTATCTGAAGAAGAGACTGAAGGATTTTTTGAACATCTTTTACCCAAAATTATCAAGTTAGCTTTACAGTTACCGGAATTAATTACAAATCCTATACCATTATTAAAACAAACTATTAATCATTCAATATCAATGAACAAAAAACAAATAGCTTGTTTATTAGCCAATGCTTTTCTATGTACATTTCCACATAGAAATAATAGTGGAGAAAATTCAGAATATAATACTTATCCTCACATTAATTTTAATGGGTAATTTACTGATAAAATTTAAATATACCGAAGTTTACTTAATATAAGTAGTATGAATATATACATTTTAGACTAAAAAATAAATTATAATATTGTTGGAGAGAAACTTTTTAAAATAAATCAGTATTAAAAGTTAAGTAAGAATATTGATCTACAATTGATCCCAAGGTATTATAAATTAGCCATGGAATTTACTTTTAACAGTATTCCTCTATCTTTTATTTTGTTTTTGTGTATAGAGTGTTACCAAAACCACTATATCATACAATTGTTATAATAATGTATTCTTATGTCAAATTTACTTTTAGATTTTTAAGAGATTTATTAAATATTGAAATATATATATATGTTATTTCATAAATATATTAATATTAATTTTTATTTAAAGATTGTTTCAGTTAAGAGTAAAAAATTCAGATGACAAGTATTTGTATGAAAAATTAAAATGTCTTATAAATTATTTTAAAAGAGTTACCAGTTCAAATTTTAGTAAGTATATTTTTGAATATATTTTATTTCAATTATTGGAATATTTTTATTTTAAGAATTTAATGGTGTAATAACTTACTCTCGATGTTATTTAACTGAAAATGAGTTACCAACTTGGTTGAAGTCAACAAATCTATTGACAAATCTTCATATTGCATCTGATGGAACTATAGAAGAAGATGGAGATGGAATGTTTCAAGTTGACTTTGCTAACAAGTGTGTACTTTAACTAAATTTATAAAAATCATTTATTTTATTGAAATAATATAGGTTTATTGGAGGTGGAGTACTCAATTGGGGTTGTGTTCAAGAAGAGATTCGTTTTCTTGTTTGTCCTGAATTACTAGTATCACAATTATTTTCACAACAAATGTTACCAACAGAATCAATAATTATCACTGGTAGGAGTTAATTTAAGGCTAACTTATTTTCATAATTTTTTCATAATGATGAAATTGTAAATAATAATTTAAAATATTTATTTTAATTAGGAGTTGAACAGTTTAATGATTATAGTGGATACTCACACACATTTAAATGGACTGGAAATTTTATTGATAATACTTTAATTGATGATAATCATAGAAGATATTGCACTATAATGGCGATTGATGCTATATATTTTCGAAATCCACAAGTTCAATTTGCTCCTAAACATTTAAGACGAGAACTTAATAAAGTATGTAAATATTTATTTACTATAATTCTAGTTAAATAGTTAAAATTTGATTTATTTTAAGGCTTACTCGGGTTTTGCTTGGGGAAACAAATCAGATTGCTCTGATATATCAATAGCTACAGGAAATTGGGGCTGTGGAGCATTTAGAGGAGATAGTCAATTGAAATCTTTACTACAATTATTGAGCGCTGCAGAAGCAAAGCGTGACATTGCTTATTTTACTTTTGGTGATACAGGATTAAGAGACTCTATTAATGATATACATTCATTTTTAAAAAACAAAAAAGTTACTGTGGGTGAGTTTCTTAATTTTTATTTTATTTTAAAATTGATATATATTTTAAATAATTAAAAAAAGAAATAAACTTAACAGTCTACACAAATATTCTTGATATACATACTCAAATGAGCAATTAGGAAATAATATTGCATTATGAGTTCACCTCTCTTTAATTAACTAAGCAAAAATAGTATCAATTTTTATGTTGTATTTTTAAAACTATTTTTTTAAACTGTTATTAGTCATTAGTGTACAATTTTGTGTTGGAAATATTTAATTTACATTTTCATTACAGGAGAAATTTGCCAAATTTTAATTAAATATAATCAATATATGTTGAGCCATTCTAGATCAAATTTGTATGAATTTATTTATAATGCAGTTTCTAACCGAGAATTACAGGTTGGTATGTAAAATAAAATCGTGTTGATTATTATAAATTAATTTTAATTAAAATGTTTAATTCAATTTGTGGTAAATATTTTAGAAGTCCAAATGTGAAAAAACAGCAAATATTGTCGACGATAGCATCAAATCTGATGATGCAAGCTTTGAAAAAACAATCAAATCTTTATGTGTGAGCCCTACTGTTATTGAAGCTACACCTGAAAAAAACTCTCACAATAAAATAGAGGAACCACTTAAACCTGAATCTAATTCAAATATAAATCACGAAGATCAAGTAGATTCTGAAAATGTGAAATTTTTACCAGTTAATCAGTTTAAATTGAGAAATGATGAAGATCGCTCTTTATGTATTCAACAACAAAAAAACAGTTGGATTCAGTTAAATGATTCGAAAAAAGATTTTCAATCAGTAACTGAAAAATCTGTTCAGTCTTTGAGTAAATTAAAACGAGAAAGAGATGAAGAAAATGGTAAAAAAAGAGTTAAGCGTAAAATATCAGATTATTTTAAAAAATCATAGTTTTTTTCTAAATTTTATTTAATTGTCAATTTTAATACTGAGTTGATATTGTATAATTATTTTTCAACATAAAAAAAAAATGTATTATATGTTTTCATTTAATTAAAAATACTGTGAAAATAGGACCTTTTTGTGGTTAAATACTTAAGTTTTGAATAAGGCATAAAGTTCTATATATGTATATGAAATGTTGAGAGTTAAAGTATATACTTTTATAAAAAAATTACTACTATTAAACATCATCGGCTGAATTAAATTCTTCGGTAACACTACATAAAGAATGTTTGTTTAAAGATTGTCTTTAAGTGAATATGATACAAATTATTTTTTAACCAATTAAAAATTTTCATCTCTTATGTTTTTGTAAAATTTTACGCTTATTAATTATACAATGTTGTTAAATGACATGCTTAGAAGTGAAGTGTTATCTGAAATGATTGACGTTTTAATTGAAGGCTACGTTACTGTAATCGGTCATTGTTCAGGAACGCCAATTGTATTCCACCAAGTTGTAGAAAAAACTTGTAAAATTCAAAAGCTCCTCCTCGATGATCTGGAAAAATTGTCGCCTATTCTGGTGCTCAGAAAACGGCAGAAAATTTGATAGTTTCCAAGGATGAAATCCCATTCAGAAATTTAACGAATGACTTAATATATACTATAGTAGTTTCGATTACAACTACATTGACATACATTTCATTGAATCACAAAGAGGTGTTTTAGAGATCCATGTTAGCCACTAACAACACGCAGACAATGATGAGTAAATATAAATGTGTGTGATAGCTGCATAGTTCACGGAGTTCATATTAATTTGAAAAAATTTAAGATAGAAGTTTTTCAAAGTTTAGTACTTTAGGAATGACACTTTGGGTGGTTACTAAATGGTTGTTTTTATGTACGTTGACTTGAAAAAAAAATTCACAATGGTCTTATTTATATGGTTTTCAATAAAAATTTAAAATTACTTGTTTACGATTTAACTCTTTCCAATGATTGAATAAGTATTAAAAAGCTTATAAGTATGTGGAATAATAAGCAGAAAGAACTTAAAGCTACAGTCGAGAATACTGGCATAGAGTAGAGAAAATAGGAATGAAGAGTTATCTCAAAATTAAAATGAAGAAAAAGATAGTTTCCTGGAGAAAGTTCCAGTTTTTTTAAAAGAATGTCATCATATGGGCGAATACTATTCATAATTTTGGTATAGGCATTTGGCAATTTTAATAGATTTTAGTTTGAAGCACTGTCAAGTTTCATTACAATCAATATGGGTAACGGTGAACTAGTTTTTTTTGTTGCTTCCTTTGAGTAATTGAGACACATCAATTTATTGTTGAGTATAATTTTTTGATTCTTATTCGACTAGATGCGTACGATATAAACTAATGTATTATTTCTTTAGGTAATTTTTTCTTAGTTCTTAAGTATATAAAGAAATTAATTTTATTTTTAACTATAATAAGACATTCTAATTTTTGTTTATAAAATAATTTTTTTCTAATTTGTTTATCACTAATTTTGTATATTAGAAATAAACTTCTCATTTTGTTTTTTTATAAATATATTGAATTATTTTACACGATGCCATGAGTTTCTAAGTATAAAAAATAGACATTAGTGTATAAGTGAATTATTTTGGTTTCAACAATTTACTCAGGAAAAAATCATGAAATATGACTATAGATTTTGCTTGAAGCAGAATAAATTTTCCTCGACTTCAGACAAAATAGACAGCCATTCATAAAAAATGGTTTACTAACGATTTGTCACAGTTGTAAAAATCGAGATTTTTTCATAACACTATCGACGTTCAAAGCGTGCGATTTTGCTAGCAACGCATTTATTTTTTTAACATTTTCCTGTATCCTATTATATGCGGAGGTTCACACATATTAACTTTTTCCAACGCCTTGCCGTCTCTATACTATTACCACAATACTTATAATCATAACTAAGATATTATTATTGAATGTATTTTATTTATGACATCACTATTAGTTAAACAAGAAAACCCAAGTGAACATAATGTTCTTTTAGTGTAAATAATTTTAATAATATGAAAAAATTATCAAAAAAATACACTAATATTATCATTACAGTTTAAACAAATTATCACATTAAAAGTTTTGTCCGTTCTTTATCTGTCGTTAAAGGTGTCGGGTAGAATTTATAACTAAAATTACGATACTTCAGTATCAGAGATAATTATTACAAATCGCAGAGTTCCTTTATACATGTAAACAGGCCCTAAATATTGTATTCAAGCTTTGAATGAGCATTATGGCATTAAACTACCCGAGGCGTAATTAAAACTGCAATACTACGGCAAATGAAAGCTCCAGATAATTATCTAAACTATCTTGTTATGATAACACCACATTGAAACGGGACGTCAACTGTCTAGTAACCTAGTCTAACTATTCACTAAATATTTTATGCAAACGCTGTCACCAGTTATGTTGGACATCACGTCTGTATGGAAAATCGGGTTCACCTCCTAAATTCCAGGAATCGCGTATAATCCTAGTCATAGTGATGGGTTAGACCAAGAGTTACCAATTATTATTTTTAGACATTTTTGATATTAGCAATTTGGAAAATGTTCGCGGACCATCAAAATACATATATTTAACATATAGTAGGATACAGGAGCGTAGTCAGATTCTCATAATAGGGGGACAATAAAAATCTACATAGTTCAATAATTCATTTATTTAAACTATAGTTATGTCATGGAAAATTTAGTTCTATATTCATATCTCCTGTAGAGCCCTATAATAAGTACAACAAATAGTTTTTTGTTTTATACTCAACAAAAATAATGGTAAATCTTTAAGAAAAAATAATAATTTCTAAAAATATTAAAAACGAATAAGATATATTAAAATAAATATTCAATATTGTTAAAAATCTTAAATATTCAATGCGAGTTAAATTTATGTGAGAAGCAAAATTTTATGTTTACATAATTTTTTTTACAAATATCACAAGACTTTTTCAACTAATATAAAGAATATTAAAGGATTTGTTTGATATATTAATCATCATATTTATAAATGACAATCTAATCTAACTTGACTGTGACTGTAAATAAAACACATGTAATTTAGTTAATTCAATATTTTTTTTTATAGAAAATACATATAAATTGACGTAGGAAATGTATAGAATAAAATATATTAGTAATAGAGACTTAAATTAATCAGACGTGTTAACGATTTTGGCATATTCTTCTGCAGCCAAGACAAATGCTTGTACATTATTTTCATATTTGGATACTATCTCTTGACATAATGGAGCCATTTTTGCATCAGCCATAATAGCTAATCTGAGATTTCCGCCATAGTTCATCATAGACAAAGATAAGCCTGAAATGTAAACCATATGTATATACTTAAGTTACAAAAAGTTTAATGTGGAAAAAAAGAAAAATTGTACCTAATAATTATTTTTAGATAAAGTACATTTTTTATTAAGAGCATTACGTTTAAGATAGAATTGTTTTTAATTAAAATTTAAAAGAATGTTGTCATAAACATACAAATTATTACTATAAAAGATCATAGTTTTAAAACGGACGTATCAAATGTTTATATAAATATTTAAGATTTTTGAAAAAGTCATCATTGTATCAAAGTATCATTAAAATATTTTTCAATAGTCTGATAGCCTAGGTAGTTTGAAAATATTTGTCCAAAATAAGACATTTAAAAGCTCAACGTAATAAAATTGATTGAAAATATTATTATTTCATTTTGCTAAAGAAGAACCTAACCGATTTTTATATTATAAAATAATTCGATGATTTTTGAAATTATTGGGTACATTGAATGAAATTAAATGTTTGAATATCTGATCTGTAACTATTATTGTCTACTTACAGACATTTGCTTGAGGTGGCCTCCAATATAGGATCGCCTCTACTTCTTGATCCCATAACAACCGTCTCTTTTCATTGTCCCATTTATTTTCTTCTACGTATGTGACCGTTAAGGGATATTTTTTAGATAAGTAGCTCAGTCCATAACTGACAAATGGAGAAGGTAAGAATGATGTAGCCAGACTATGGTCAATCTGCCACATGGAAGCTATGTATAATCCTGTCTGATTGGCTATGGCTTCTTGTAAACATTCTTGCATCTTATGTAAACAATAAATCGGTTCACTATCGATGTCCATGGGCAACGGCAGTGATAGCAAACCATAAGAAACTACACGTCGATCGTTAAGTTGAAATAGGTTGTTTTTAGATACAAACCGAGTAGTGGTCATCACATTCTTCGGGTACTTGACATTTGCCTTATCAAAGTATTCTTGTAAAGCAGCCGACAACATGGATAGCTGTATCTCACATGTTGCCGCCCCTGTGTTATTGTGAATGGTATTGACTACGGCCATGTCGATTGGTCCAGACCAGTATACACATTTTTTACCACTCAAAGAAAACTCGACTCTCTGTTCTCGACTGAAAAATGGGAACACCAGTTCTTGAATAACAGTTCGAGGTGCGTTATAAACCAGTCGGAAAATGTAAAGCATTTCTGAGGCGCTGTACATGAGCACATAAGTCCAGTACACGTACGTATATGTATTCCTGAACATAAGTAAAACAGTTATAGGAAACCGGAATAGACCTTTGACCATCAACCACCACGTGAATGAAATCCACAAGGCCGGGTGGAAAGTGTACACTATGCTTTCCAATGCGTAATGCCAGCGAATATTGCGTTTAACTAATTCTTTTCTTACACTATTCGGATAATAAGAATACCCAGTGTCTTTGTATGCAGACATCATAACTATGGCAACCATGGCGGAGAATACGAACGCATTGGGACGATGTTTTAGAATTTTTGGATTTTCTAAAGGATCGTAAGTTGACACCAACTCGTTCCACGTATTGGTCCAAATTTCCGAAACGTGTTCATACAGCCGAGGTAATGCCGTGGGCGCTTGATAAACGGTAGACAATATATTTTGTATGCTGTCAACATCATTTTGATGTGCAGGCGATTTCTCAGTGTATTTCCAATCGTTCGATTTAAGTAATAAAAGATCGCTTATTCCCACTCCATCTTCAGATGCGTAAAGGTGGTGCATTCTCACTAAAAGATAAAATGAATCCTCGATTGGCACAACAGTTATCTGCCACTGAGGTTGTTTAGATGGTATATGCGTTTTGACAATATCATTAATATACTCCTATAAAAAAATAAAATAAATAGTAAATTTAAAGAAAATTCCTCAATTATTTATAGCAAATCATTGTTGATTTGATTTCTATAGATATAAATATGTACAAAAAGCTTCATGCAGAATGGCCTGCGTCTTTAGTCTAAAATTGGTTTTATAATAAAATTATTATAGAGATGTTTATTTTAGAAAAAGTGGTATTCAATTGCTACTAATAAAAAGTATTTTAGTAAATCAATCCACATAAAAATGTCTTTAAGTGGATTCAACTGGTTGTTGTGCGAAGCTCTTCAAGTTTAAAATTTTAGCAATACTTTATTTATGAACTTTAAGTTTAATTTTTGAAAATGTTCCGGAAATACTGACACTTTTATATATAATTTAAATTAAAGCTTTAGTAATATACTTTACTATGAAAAAAAAATTTTAAACTATAGATTTTTTTCTTGATGAAAATGACTACCGTATTAAAAAATATGCTATTTTTGTGTAAAAATACTTGGTATTGTGTTTAATTTTTTTTTAAAATACCTTACAAAGAGATTACACTAATTTTCATGTATATTATTAATATAAATATTATTGGCATGGAATATAAAGTTAAACTTAATTAATTTTTTTTGCTTCTCTTAAGTCGAGCAAAATAACTTTGAAATTTTAGTTTAAATTGTCATTTTTATCTTCCAACAAATTCGAAAATTGTACGGTTGTCATGTCGGTAAAACTTAATTCTTTAACGTTTGAGGTCCGAGGTTCGAAACTGCCTGTGTGAGTGAATCTTTTTTATATGTTAATACATGGTTTTAACTAATTATTAATAGTATTAAAAATTAGTTGTGATGGAAAAAATCTAAAAAAACTTGTCCCAACTATGCCACGTCCACGCTGTACCATGACTCCACTGTACTACCGTTTTTTTTATACACTTGTAGAATTTTTTATCAAGGGTTACCACTCTTTAATTAAAACCCTAATTTTAGCTTCATGCGTAGCTGAGAAATGATTAATTTTACTACGATTTACATTTATTGGTTTTGTGTCTGTACGAAAGGAATCCATGAGGTTCGCCACCATGGATATAAAATCATACTATTTGGAAGGAGTAGTGGAGAAATGATTCTCTCTACTATTCTACGTTCTAAAAGCTATCATTTTAATAAATACATGCATTTAAAGATGAACTATTCTTCAACGAAGTGTTTTATAATAGTAATGTTAATTACTGTCCAGATATCAATCTATACTTATATCAAATATTATTATTGTTACTTATTTTAACGTAACAAGTTCAATTTACAAATTTAGTACATAGTATGTAATACAGTATAAAAATAGAATTTACAAATTTCAATAATACAAATATCTATATAATGAGAAAATACAAATATACTGGTACTCACTATGCGTCGTCATGACTGTGGTTGGTTTTTGATATTATAAGTGAAGTAACTTGGTATAATAATGTGTTTTATTAAATATAGTTCACTCGACAATAAAGTCAAGTGTAAGTATGTTAAATCATCTAATTAGTTTAAAACAATATTCTATTACTACACAGTCTATTGTAAATATTTTAATATTATTCTCCATGCACTTATTTGTTTTAACAAGGCGAGAAGAGTCTTGAATTATAAGAAAATTGTTTAATATATACAGAATGATCTGTTTATCATAAACCACTCGATTACTCGCATAATAAATACAATAAAAAAAAAAAATATTTTGCTCTATTTTAGTTACATATATTTCTTGATTTATTAGCTAATAATTACATTTTAGGATCATCTCTTATAATGTATAGGAGTGTGAACTTCATTTTTTTCAAACTGTAACATACATATTTAATTAAATTATAAATTTGAAAATTATCTAATTGAGAAAATGATGATAACAACTTTTAGCCCAGTATTTCAGATCTTATTAACAATTTAACGTTAGACTGGAAGTGAGGAGTGGGTGTTTTTATTTTTATCACTAGCCATTTTCTTGGCGTACTCTTCGTCCCATCTATGTATAAAAATGAGAATAACTTCCAAAGTACTTATCTAAAAGTTGTTATCGACCGGTCATTTTATTAATTAGATTATTTTCTGTTATATAAGCTAGTTAAATATATATATATATATATATATCTATTTAAAAAAATTAAGTTGATACCCCTTTATATTATAAGGGATGATACTATAAAATTATTTTTCTAATATGGTATATATTTGCAAGTAATCAAGTGGTTTATGATAAACCGATCACTTTGTTTATATATTAATATAAATATACATACATACATAATACAAATATCTAGTATTTTCAATTCTAATTATTTAAAGAAAGGTATAGTATAAGTGAACATGTTACTTTTGGCGTATGTAAATAGTTAATGTAACATTATTGAATTGATAGGTGGTATAAATTATAATTTTCATAAAAACATAATGTTTCATTTTTTTCGATAATTTTAATAAAATAATTAAATGTATTGAGCACTCATGTCATTTAGTTTCGCCTAATGGCTTTGCATTAACAAATTGTTGATTGGGTTTTTATTTTAGAACGATCGAAGTAGATAAATTGAAACTGTTGCTACCATTTTAGCTAATTAAGTATTTTTACATTGTACATAACTTCATGTGAAGTGTATAATTATTGTTAGATATTAATTGTAAAACTTAAAATTATACTACGTATGTTATATGTTACTAAGGTTGCAAAATAAAATATTTGTTGGTCAATTTGTTTCATATTGCTAAATATTCAATGTGTTTTGTTCGATATGTTATTTCAATATATTTAATAATGTTTTCTGTAGTTTTCACGGTAACTTGACGTCAATTGGGCAACTCGCAATAATGGGCCTCAATTGAATTTTAAGAACGTAATACTACCGACGTCATTAGTTGATTTATGATGTACTTTTAAATTTTATCTAAATTATTAAAATTAGTTTAAACTCATAATGTTTGTTTTTTTTTTTGAAAACACGTCGAATTTAGTGTCTGTTACAAAAGCTGATACGATTGTTTTTGGTCAGCAATCGTTAATTAGATAACAGTTTATTATTGGTAATAATAACTCACTCTAGTAAAACTTCACAGATGTGTATCGCATTATTAGACCAATGCAACTAATAACTTTTATTTAACTACTTTTTTTTTTT